AGGCTATTTTGTGTTAAAGAGTTGAATGCTAAGCAGCCTTTGACATCAGGTAGGTGGACAGTAATAATGTTTAAAAATTATAAGAAGGGAGACTCCACTTACTTTTGGGCTTAACACTTTCGTCGCAGTCGACTGCCGACCTCTGCTCAACTAGAAGAAATTTGAAAGAAAATTATTAGATACATAGCAAACTAAAAGATTTCACGGCGAGAATGTTATAATACGTCACCGAAATAGAGATCCGTTTGCAAATATAAATGAATTTTCAATACGGAAAGGAAGGTTGCTTTAGTAAAATTTGCTTGAAAAACTGCACTTTGCAGGGTAATGGAAGCATCGATATACAGATGTGACATGAGTCTCAGGAAAGGAGGGTCCCTTATTACCATAAAGATGGATGTTTTGAAATTTATGCCATTTATGCAACTAAGCAACTTCAGTTAAACCTACAGCTACCCCCCCCCCCCAAAAAAAGGCGTGCCTCGCAACGGCCTTTGTCCCTTCCTAACCTAAGCAATAATCCCAAAATGCTTTAAAATTGATAACAGTGGCATAAATAAATCTCTATTCACTGAAACGACCATTATTAATTAGTAAAGCCTTGTTAAAGTTACGCAGCACAGATATGATTTTTTGTAGCCAGGTTGTTAAGAGCAAGTCACATTTTAAAAAAGATTCTCTAAAAAACATGATTCTGTCGTGCAGGTACTAGTGAATGCTGCCTAGCAGTCTCTTTAATTAGAAAAATTACTGTCTATTATAAATATTTTCAGCTTTGATATATTTAAAAAAAAAATTAGCTTAAAGATAAGTGTCAGCTTTTTCAGTCTTTATCGAGGTAGTGATATGGTTTCAATCACAACGGACAGAGCACAACAATCAGGCGAGCCAAGTCTAAAATTGGATGTTCATAAAATTGGATGATTCTGAGCATGAATGTATCTATATACTTTATTATTATAAATGAAAGAGGGCATTTACTTGGCGTAATCTGGAGTATTTCGTCTGCCATGATCTGCGTATTCTCCTCGTCGGCAATTTCATCGAAGAAATCCACTATAAGAAATCCAAAAAGTAAATGGTTAGATTCACGGAAAAAAGACGGTGTAGAGATTTTATAATAACTAGAAATACAACAAGACACCAGAAGGGGGTTTGTTCTTTTTAATTCTCGATTCTTCTCGGTCGGCGTGAACATTGATATATTAAAATAAAATTCTGACGATTGAAAAAATGTGCTGAGAGTTTCTTACTTTGGGGCGGGGGGATCTCATCTTCTACGATCTGCGTATCGTCTTCTTCGTCTTCCATTGCATCACGCTGCACCCCAAATTTCTGCTCCACTAAAATAGATTCAAAAAAATAGAATGTAAGTTACGCAGAAAAAACTGATTCCCTACAGTAGCTGAAATCATTTGAAATAAAACAAGGCACTAACTAGAAAGCGGTTTGTTTCAACAGTGGCTGAGCTCTTACTAATTTGGCTGGGGGCAGGGCTTGGAAAGTTGGTCCTTATCAATAAATTTGGGGGCTGGCTCAAATAAATTAATTTAACGAAAATAAATGAATTTGTTTTGATAATTGATTAATGGATCAATGATGGTCTCATCAGTGTTCTAGGAAAACAATATTTTTTTACCAAAAGCACCAAATAGATTTCAGAACAAAAAGCACAAACAAGTGAACTGCAATGTACTCACCATCTTCATTATATTCCTGGTCCATCTTGACTTCGCTCATGACTTCTCATGAAAACTGATTTTTTGCATTCGAGGACCCCTTTTTATGGAAAACGTAGCATCAGATTGCGTGGTATTGTTTTCGTTTACAATACTCCTCCTACTTCAATACTAGTTGATGCCTGTCAACAATCACATACCAAACCATTGTCTACACAGGGTTAATTAGTTTTGGAAACTGCTGTGCAGCGTGGGTCGAAGATACGAAACATGGTTGCTATTTGGTTGTTTAGGATTGATTCTAGCGACGAAGTAAGTGAACAAATGTATTTTTTGCTATTACGTATTTCTCTGTGACACCTACGTTTCCAAAACCGTCTCCCCCACCCTAGAAACACACAACAAAACACTTGCAACTAGGGTTTATCGTCGATTCATGCAAACCTCCCTCCCTCACGAGCATTGTCATGCAAACAGTTTAGGCTATCCTCAGACTATTTTATTCCCGAAGGAATAAAAAACATCCCACCCTCTCCCCTTCCAGGTTCCTAAAAAGACACCATTTCCCAATTCTACACTGAATTTCCACCAAATTGACTGAATTTTCAAACCTGTCCCGTTTTTGGGTTTAATTCTCAAGGCAACTCGCAACGTGCCTTCCTCAAGTTCACTCTCCAGAACAACAAGCGCGACCCCTCCACCCCGTTCTTAAACAATGAATAACTCAAAATTTAGGTTCCTAATTGCAAATTCCCCAACTGTGCCAGGCCTTCTTATCAGTTAAACTAGCCTTTTACGTGAAAAACCCGAAATTTTTATTTTCAACATTTTACACACAGGAGTGACACTTTGAAATTTTTCTCAAATCGCAGCAGCCTGAAAACTCAAACGGTTTCCTGTTGCATGGCACTGCTTCAACAATAAAGCCCCAAAATCTTTCAAAAACACACCATTTCCCAATTCTACACTAAATTGCCACCAAATTGACTGAATTTTCAAACCTGTCCCGTTTTTGGGTTTAATTCTCAAGGCAACTCGCGACGTGCCTTCCTCAAGTTCACTCTCCAGAACAACAAGCGCGACCCCTCCACCCCGTTCTTAAACAATGAATAACTCAAAATTTAGGTCCTAATTGCAAATTCCCCAACTGTGCCAGGCCTTGTTATCAGTTAAACTAGCCTTTTACGTGAAAAACCCGAAATTTTTATTTTCAACATTTTACACACAGGAGTGACACTTTGAAATTTTTCTCAAATCGCAGCAGCCTGAAAACTCAAACGGTTTCCTGTTGCATGGCACTGCTTCAACAATAAAGCCCCAAAATCTTTCAAAAAGACACCATTTCCCAATTCTACACTAAATTGCCACCAAATTGACTGAATTTTCAAACCTGTCCCGTTTTTGGGTTTAATTCTCAAGGCAACTCGCGACGTGACTTCCTCAAGTTCACTCTCCAGAACAACAAGCGCGACCCCTCCAACCCCGTTCTTAAACAATGAATAACTCAAAATTTAGGTCCTAATTGCAAATTCCCCAACTGTGCCAGGCCTTGTTATCAGTTAAACTAGCCTTTTACGTGAAAAACCCGAAATTTTTATTTTCAACATTTTATACACAGGAGTGACACTTTGAAATTTTTCTCAAATCGCAGCAGCCTGAAAACTCAAACGGTTTCCTGTTGCATGGCACTGCTTCAACAATAAAGCCCCAAAATCTTTCAAAAAGACACCATTTCCCAATTCTACACTAAATTGCCACCAAATTGACTGAATTTTCAAACCTGTCCCGTTTTTGGGTTTAATTCTCAAGGCAACTCGCAACGTGCCTTCCTCAAGTTCACTCTCCAGAACAACAAGCGCGACCCCTCCACCCCGTTCTTAAACAATGAATAACTCAAAATTTAGGTCCTAATTGCAAATTCCCCAACTGTGCCAGGCCTTGTTATCAGTTAAACTAGCCTTTTACGTGAAAAACCCGAAATTTTTATTTTCAACATTTTACACACAGTAGTGACACTTTGAAATTTTTCTCAAATCGCAGCAGCCTGAAATGTCTCAATCGAGACCATTTTCAAATTCTACGCTAAATTTCGGGCAAATTGGCAGCATTTTGCAAGCTATTCCCATTTTGTGTTTTTTTTAGGAATATATTAGTTTGTGGAAAGGTTTCAAAAACCACAGATTTTGAAAGGTTAGGGTTTGAACCATTGTCTATTGTCGTTAGTCTGCGGGAGGTGTAAATGCCTTTGTCAATCGTTGTTGCGCCTGTGTTTTATGCAAATGTCCCTTTTGTTTTTTCTCTTGATTGTTATCCAATTTCCGGCAGTACGAATTTCGTACAACCCAGTCCGTGACACTTAGAAAATTTTTCTCAAAACGCAGCCTCCAAACGCTGAAATGACACGTGATTTGCGGAACAATCTGTCAACGCGTTTCTCATAACTATTTGCATTTCGAAACTTGGCTCAGGCGCATTTATTAATGTGATCTTCTACTGTTATGAAAAGAGGGAGTGTTAAACAAAATAGCTCACAAAATCAAAGCAAACGATTTGGAAATGGCTTTTTTTTGCAAAATTAAGCAGAGGCTTTGTGACCATAATCATAATAATGCTGAGGTGGTTAGGTACACTACATAACCATGCAAAATTGTTTATGTAACTCAAAAAACCTTTTCGTTGACGATCTAGCTATTGATAAAATTTGCAATTTCTAATTTATTTCTTTAGAAATGAGTCATTTAAGTTTACCTTGGAATACAAACTAAACTAAAAGATAACGATCATTTTGATATCAATTCAGCTCCCATAATCTTTGTTCATGCTAAGTGCGCAATTAAACTTGTTTCTGCATACAAAAAGCATGAAATGCTGCCAAGGATATGCTACGGCATGCCCATTTCAATCTACTAATTACGTTTTCTGCTTTGGTATATAGAATTGGTGACAGAGAATAATACACCGTAAATTGATATGCCTAGAAAGCATGCAAATGTGTTGGATATGTTGATAAACTGCTGGTCAGAAAAGTAAATAGAGCTTTCCGCAAATCAATCAATTAACCTTACTTAATGAAAAATGACACAGGCAATAATACAAACATGCATATAAAGATTGAAAAAAGGCAAAGGCAAGTGATTATGTTGACAACCTTGGATCAGAAAGATAAAATATTGTTACAAGTAATGTTAAATAATTTCTAAAATACGACTAGCTAAAAACACGAAATTAGCAATGTCTTAGCTTTCTAAAATAATGTAATTATTAACGTTCGTTAAACCTTGTGAAATTTATAAAGGGGTATCTTCTGCTTCTGTTTCTGTGTCATTATCGTCCTCTCCCAAAAAAGTCAATGTTTTAGAAGTGAGGTGGTCAGCGGCCCTTTTTATTTTTCTTGCTGAATCATCTGTGTTGTAGCGAAGGCGCTGAACTCGTGGTGAGTGGCTCATGAGTCTTGCAACTGAATTTCTTACTTCGTCCTCCTTCTCGTTGCACATTAGCCAGTTTACGAGCGCTTTTCAGAGGGTCGTAGTTGTGAACTTCAAGCCCCCATTGTGTCGCTGAAACGCCTTTTCGATGTAAACAGTAAACGACTCAGATGTGTCAAATGGTTGCCCCTTGCCCTTCATTAGAAGAAAATCATGTCTCTTACTCAACATAAGCTTCTCCCTCTCCTCCTCAACATATTTACGTAGATGTTGGTTGACATAATCGTAACTGGAGATGTCCACTCTATTGCACCCGTATTTTTTCTTCGTTTTAAAATCATTTACAACCATTGTAGTGCTGCCATTTTCCTTAAATAAAATGTAGTTTTCTGAAACACTTCCCTGTTCCTCGTCAAATAGTTTTTTTAGTTTCATCAAATCTGCATTCCTTGATGGGCTCACTGTGGTGAACAATAAAAGTATTACAAAATCATGGTATAACCTTGCCTTTTGATACCCATCCATCTCTTTCGACGAAATTATCCTGTCCCTCATCAATTTTAATGTTTCTAAAACCTGTTTCCATTCAAAGTTCTTTCTTTCATCGGCTTCCGGGTACCTTTGTCTCCGCTCTCTCTCATAGAGGCTCTAAAAAAACAGTGGTAAATTTAAACTAAAAATATCAAAAAGCGATGTGTAAAATGTATGTGTAAATAGAAAGGAACGCAGGATATGCTGTCCGCTGATTAAAATAGGAATAATAGCCGCTAACTAAGCCACAGGACGGTGAAAATCCAATGTAGTCAAAAAGAATTTCAAAAAAAATTGAATATACTAAATGACTCTACTTCGGCTGGCTTCATCAACCATTCTTGACAGTAGAGTTTAGGCAGCCAGAATTTAATGTTATGATATAGAATGAAATGCAACTCAAGTTCCTATTGTAGAATTTCTAATGAAAAGCGAAAATATATATAGCTAAGGTGAACTGGAATACTCACTTGCAGTTGGGCCTGCATGTGCCTCAATTGTGTTATTTCTGCAATTTCATGCCAACTTTTTGTTAGGCCCTCTTTTTTCAGAATATATTTTGCTGCCACTATCAGGCTTTGAATATGGTTGGCAACTGTACCCACGTTTAGCTCCCTCCTCAATTCCGCCACATATGCCCTAACAAAGTTGATGTTTGTAACATCCTCCATTTGTGGGGGTCTGTTATATGTCTCTTCTACATGTTCAAAGAACTTCTTTAACCTTCTTGTGTGGCGTTCGATTGTCCCTGCTGTCATACCGTTTGATGGTCTTAACGGGTTTATTTCATCCGTGTAGAATTCCTGGAGCTTTTCGAAAAATACTTCAAATGAAGACACTCCATCCTGCATGCTTGAAGCTGCTTCGTAACTTGTACCCGCCTCCACATTGGCGACTGCTGCTTGTGGTAGTTGAAGCACACTCTGCTTCTGTAGCAGCAAATGAAGACTGTCTAATGGGATGACGTAATGCCCACCTTACGTGGTCCAAATTTCTCTTCGAGCTTCAAGCGCAGGATCCCCTCAGGTTTCTTGCAATTTATCTTCAATCTGTGCATTCTGCTGCGGAGAGTCGAGCTTTGTATATTTTTTGTGAACTCAGCCTTCAC